AGGTGAGTAAGAACCAAAGGGTCCGTTTGCGCGATGTCGTTCTTCATCGCAGGTACACAGGGTGGCGGCTCTACTAGCCTGACCGGTCCAGTTCCGGCACGTTGTCCGGTAAAACATGGACAGGAACACAGTCTTAATAAAGAGGAATTCGAAGAAGAAAAGGGAAAAAATGAAAGAAAGAAAAAGAGCACAACAAAGAAAACGAGCAAGGGAGAGTGATGAGCGATCGAAGAAGCAATTGCTAAACACGTCGCTCGAAGAGGCAGTCGATAATCTCGTCGATTGCGCTGGAATTTGACGCGAGATATACATGTGCATCGGCACGCCGTACGACATATTTTGTGACAATAAAACATGCTCGGTGCAGACGCCAGAGTGACCGGAATGCAAGACACCGTGAGGCAGGCATCGCGGCCCTGATCGGAATGGAGGCAGATGAGGGCCGTGGTGGCATTTGTGCAACCACCAAAACGTGCGCAATGCGGTTGATACGGGGGGACATGCATGCAACTGTCGAGAAGTAGCAATAGCATGATGCCTGGGCGCGATGCTGAGATGCGATTCGCTCGTCTTTCAAGTCAAAGTCAGAAGAATAGAACGGTACCAATGCACAAAAAATATGTGCCCGTACCTCATTATTCGCATAGGCGAGAGGATGACTACATATTGGATCTGGAGGTGTTTAACCGTATTTTGATAATGGACACGATTGCAGTGCGACGAGGTGATGTTGAATGTCTGTTGGTTGTTGGTGCGATTTCCTAATGCGGACATGCACCTCCAAACCGCCATTAAAGGGGATCACCAACGACATCAACGGACTTCAAAAAGCAGCTGTTCGACGCAAGCAAACAAAAGCGACGTCAAGAACAAAGAAAGCTGTATGCGTTGTGATGAATACGGACGCGGAAGCAAGTATGGGCATTCCACGCAAACACAGCATGGTAGAGATATGAAAAGGGCACGATTTGATGAAGCCCCCGTAGACGTGAAGAATCAACGCATCGCCCTCTGCAGCTTCATTTGACATCCAATATAGACGACGACCTTATCACTCACCAGTATGGCACACGTGTACGCACACAACTTTGACCCCAGCGTCCACCGCGCCGGCTACATCCCGGGGACCGAGTTTGCGCTGCCGTACCTCTCGCGCTTTTCGATGGCGCACGACGACGAGGCGGACATGCTGCGCCATGTCAACTGTAGCTTGCTGTCGACGCCCGGGGTGCCGCCGACCCTGATTGCGCTCAAGCAGCACGCACAGTCGCTCGCCTATCTGATTGCGATGCTCAGCCCGCACGGCGGCGACGACGAAGCGGTTGAGGTGCTCGTCAAGAGGGCCAAGGCGGCCAAGAGTACCAAGAGGGCCAAACGCCAAAAGACGGGCCACATTGGCGACGACGACACCGGCGTCGCAGACGGCAGTCTTCTCCGCGATCTCGTGTCAGGCACGACCGACACGACGACGGACAACCCGTTTGACTGGCTCGACCTCAGCCGGCCGTACACCAACGATGCCGATCCGGCACACCACCGGCCGCTGATCGACCTTGTCAACGAGGTGAAGGCGCGGCACGACGTGCTGGACACGACATACCACTGCCCGCTGACGACGTACGAGCCGCGCAACGGCGGGCGGTATACGCGGGACCGCAACAAGGGCAAGGACAAGGACGGCGCGCGGCGCTGGGACGAGGACGGCTTCGACCAGCGGCGGCCCTATGCATCGTACCACGGCTTGCTGCTGCATGCCAACATGTGTCTAGAGCGGCTGGACCACGAGTACGCCGCCACGGGCGGGCTGTTGTCGCTGCTGCCGACGCGCCGGGTGAATGGCGTGAGCGGCGACAACAACAAAGACACAAGCACAAACAGAAACAAAAGCGAGGACGAAGACGAAAACGACGAGGAAGAGCCTGAGATAGAGGCCGCCCGCAACACCCTTGTCGGCCAGTGGATCGTCTTTTCGCAGAACCTCGTCGGCCGTACGTACGAGCTGGAGGCTGCCTATGCCAACGCCGTGCATGCACTCCGTGGACGAGACACGGCAGCCGACACGGGGGCCGCGGCCGACAAGTGGCGCATGATCCACGCCGGCGACGACGTCTGGGGCGACGTGCACAGCAAGCTGGACGCGTCGAGCACGGCCGATGCAGCGTGGACGGCGCAGCGCAGCACCCAGGGCGTGGTCGGCGGTAACCAAGCCGCCGATGCGGCGTCGGCCGACCGCGTCGTGTACGTCGACATCAACACGCGCTTCTACCGGATGGACGTCGGCGGCACCCACGCGCGCGGCGCCATCTACGTGTGTCCGGTCGGCGCACCGGGCATCGTCGATGCAGGCGTGGTGGACGGCTCTGGCCGCGGCTCGTCGGCGGCGGCCGATGATGCCGACAAGCGCGCCGAACTGCACGCGGCCCAAGGGCGCCACCACTCCGCCTCGGCTCTCGAGCAGCGCTACGACCGCCGCCTGCAGGACGCCGGCCGCATCGCCCGTGCCAACCAGCATCTGGCAGAGCAGGCACTTCAGCACGCGCAGACGCTGCTTGTGCTGCGTCGCGACCACGAACGCATGCTGGCGCTGAACGCGGAGCTGCAGAGGACGGCCGACGCGGCCAGGCAGCGCCTGAAAACAGCCGAGGCGGAGCTGGCAGATCTCAAGTCCACGAGAGGCAGGTGAGGCCACGCGTGCGTGACGTCTCTGTAGAATGACACCACCTGCCGCTCATGTTGCTGTGGCTGTAGACGGCTGACCCGGAGAGAAAGTAAGATGACCCAGATGACAAGGTGCAGGGCAGCTGACAGGGGACTGGAAAAAGCTCGGGCGGGGCGTATGCAGGCTAATTTCCACATTACAACACAGGTTGGCATCCGAGAACCGATGAACAGGAATCGGAGGGGGGTCCCAGAGGCAGGAACAGAAACAGAAACAAAAATTGGAAAACGCAAGATGAAGAGCACGGTCCCCATATGCTTGCTGACCCCCCGAAATGAACGAAAGCGTCCAAGGATGTCTCGACGACAAGTGTGACTGTGTGACACATGCAGGAGGAAATCACATCTCGCCTCATCACCTGTGCTCTGTTGTTTGTGACCTTTTTCGGTCGACGGCGTACTTTTGCTCCATCAGCTCCTCCATTTCGTTCTCTCTTCACCTTGGCAACCGAGAGAGCCAAGGCTCTGCAACGATCGGAAAGGGAAGACACACCGCCGGATCATTGTCTTCGGGCTGTGCCAAGATGCGGAACCGGTCGGAGGCGGTGGTTGGTCGGGTTTCGTTTTGTTTCTCAGCTCACATCAGCTCTCTCACTCGCCTTTCCTTTTGTATTGATTTATTGATCCGCAAAAATATTGGTCTTGCGGTACTTTACTCGTCGTGCCGAGCTCTCTTCCTGTCACGGGTTTATTAACTGGTCGGTCGGATACCTACAGAGGCAGCAGTTTGAGGTTTTTTTTGTGTTTTTTTGTCTTATACTTTTTTGTCTTTTACTTTTTTTGTCTTTTACTTTTTTTGTCTTTTACTTTTTTTGTCTTTTACTTTTTTTGTCTTTTACTTTTTTTTGCCTTTTCTCTAGTTCTGCTATTTCTTTCTTTTTCGCCATTAATCCCATTCTCTTCATTTTGGTGTCCTGTGCTACCATTTGCATACAAACCGGGCTTGTCGGGGCCTAATCGTACATCGTAAATTGCGCCGACATAGATTGTAGGATAAAAATTGCGCCCGTTGGACACTGCTTTCGTCTTTTGTGATGGCGTGTCTCTATTTCTTTATTTATTTGGTTCTTTTTTCTTATCCTTTTTCTAAGCACTCTCCTCATCCGTGCTATGCGATTGGCCCGTTCGCAGCCCCACTTCCGTCGCCGTAGCAACAGCGCATCACAACAAGCTGGATGTCTCCGCTTCGCACCTTCTCCGTTTCCGCACTTTCCCTCGTTGTCGTTGCAGGACCAGCAATAGCCGCGCCCCACTTCTCGTTTTCCCTGCCTGTTCGCAACGCGCCTTCTGCTCTTGGCGCAACGCAGATGGCTCCTGCGCATATCCATCAACGTAACCTTGCAAACCGCGGGAGAGAAGGCACGATCCTCAGAGCTCAGGCCATCGACCCTTCGAGCCTTCCTTGTCCGTCTGAGCGCAACACCCCTGTACGCCGGACGTCGTATGATATCCCTTTTCTTCTGCTCCAGTTCTGCTCCAGTTCTGCTCCAGTTCTGCGCGCCTCCGTTCACTTTACCTCACTTCGATCCCTGCATCTACGTCGTATCTGTGTTTCTCGGCCTGTTGGCTGTCCTCCTCACCCAACGCCCTGCCGCCTGGCCCACACTTCCAAACACCTCTGTTATTATTATCCTTGCTTTTCCATATTCAGTACATAGCTGCCCTGGCAAGAAGACCCCTCGATACCACTAGCCGATCCTATTTGCTTGCAGTTATTCTTCATTCTTGGATATTCGTCCTTCTCGATTCTTCTCGTTTTGCTACCGCATACCTCCTTCCCCTCGTCCGTCATCCTCCTTTTCTCTGTTGTCTCACGCTCGTTGCCCACTCCTCTCTCCTCCCCAGCACTTCAAAAAGCCAAGCGATGCGCCGCTGAACCCGACCAGCAGCGTCCGCCGAGGAGAGCGAGAGAGCGTTGGTTGCCATCGCGAGACAGGGCCTCGTCTCTTGTCGACGTCGAAGTCGCAGAAAGCATGGGTGTTTGGTGAGCCTGGAGCAGCAGAGAGACGGCCAACGACAGCAGCACTCGCACAAGCAACAGCAGAGCACCGACCACTGTGCCATGTAACGGCCCGTCAACAGCTGCATCCATCCAGTTTTCGTGCTTTGTCTGTATTACTCCAGTCCTCGTTGGCTTCACTTTTATTTTAGTTTTCCTTTCCTCTCGCCGACAGCCGACTCCGACCTTCGCGCAGCGTCGTCTCACGCAAAACGTACGCTCCGTCCTGCCGGGCGCCGTTGAGCACGGAGCAGTCAATACGGTTGTCCGCCATCCACTTACAATGGCAACGGCCCTGGATGGCCGACTTACTGGCCTCCTCCACGGCCGTCGCCAGCCAATGGCCGTTGCTCCTCAAGCAATTATTCTTGCAACCCTCGTCCAGCTGCTGCCACGTGTCGCAGCGGAGTCCTCTTCCTCCGCATCCCCGGCCGTTTTCCCTTATACGCCGACCTCCATCCTCGTCCCGAGCGCCAACTCGAGCGTTGTTTATCTCTTCTCTGCCTCGGCCAGCGGTCAAATCGAGTTCCTCTCTCTCAACACCTCGTCCACTCTCTCGTCATACTCGTCAAGCGGCATAGAAACACTCACAGCAGAGGTTCCGTTCCTCGCGAACAATGGGCAAGAAAACACTTTAACAACTTTTACGCCAGCCATTCGCTCCGATGGCTCGATATTTGTTTACGCCGGCGATTGCTCTTCGAGCACCTCCGACTCGGCCACCGTCTGGACCTACAACCCCTCGTCCTCGACAGCACAATGGACGAGCAGCTCAATACCTCTGACTTCCTCCCAGTCCGGGCCCTGGTTTCTCGGCAGCAGCACTGGCTTCTCGAACCAGGTCGCACCGGCCATGTCCAACTCTACCTTTTACCTTTACGGCGGCATGTGTCCGACAACAAGAACAGCCAGTTCCTCCACAGATGCCTCTTCCAACTGGCAGAGCGGTGCCTCCTATTCCAACAAAATGTTAAAGCTCGTGCCGTCCGGCGACTCATATGCGCCATCCTTTGTCTCAAGCAAAGGACCCCCAATCGCCGAAGCGGGCTTCACGTTCACAAAATTGCCGGCGTCCCAATCAAACCGGTCGGGCATCGTGACCCAGCAGGTGAACAGCGTCGTGCTTGGCGGCCACACCGAAACGGCGTTTGTCAACATGAGCACCGCCGCAATCTGGAGCCTACCAGAAGAGGCATGGTCTTTTGTGTCCATTGCCAACCCGTCGTCGGCTGCGCCCGGCAACTCCGAGCTTACAGTCGTACGAAAAGACAGCACGCCCTCCACAGCGGCTGCACCGGACAGCCGTTCGGGACATTCGGCTGTTCTAAGTGAGGATGGCAACTCATTGATCATCCTAGGTGGCTGGGTCGGGGACGTTACTCAGGCCGCAGACCCGCAACTGGCTGTTCTCAAGATGGGACCCGACTACGGACAGTGGCAGTGGTCCATACCGTCGACACAACCTTCAGGCTCCGGCATGTACGGCCACGGTGCTGCCCTCCTGCCCGGCAATGTCATGGTCGTCTACGGCGGCTATAACATTAGCAGCTCATCCACCTCACCTGCAAAATTGATCCGGAGAGGCTCCCCGTCGGGCGGGAACGGTCTCATGTTTTACAACCTGACCAGTCTCTCTTGGTCCGAGAACTACACCTATCCCGACAAGGACTCGTCAGCTGCCGCGCCTTCATCGACCAAATCACACACCTCTTCCTCCAAGATGGCTCTCGGCCTGGGCCTTGGCCTCGGTATCCTGCTTGCCATTCTCCTTCTTGTCCTGCTCGTACACATCTGCGGACGCCGCAGCCGCCAGCGCCGTCGGCGAGATGAAGCCGTTCGTGCTCTCGCCCAAGACCACCAGCAGTTCCTGCATGGCCACGACGAAATGGTGGAGAAGAACGGTGGCAACTTGCCCTTCGGTTGGGGTAACGGACGTGAAGGAATGGGCTTCTATACTGGCGGCCATGATCCCTACGTGGGCCGCCGCTCTCTTGGGTTTGAGAGCCTTCGGGGAACCAAGCCAAGTCCTGCCTTCCCGACTTACCAGTCACCCAACCTGCATGCCGACGACCCTAGCGTGCCAGGTGCGGCCTTTTCCAATGGACGCACGCCGGCACGCAATGTCGCGCGTGGCCTCTACCAGCCAACAACAATCAATGACTACGAGTCTTTCCTGGCGCTGGGTAACAACGGAGGTGCTGCTGCAGGCAACAGCACTAACGGAATCCACCCCATCTACGAGGCCGACGAAGAAGACGACGACAACGGCACCGACAAAGGCAAGCAGCGTGCCGGGGCACAGACCGCCGATTCAACCGGCCGGTCCATCAGCCCCGAGACTGAGGAGCTCACCGACCCGTTCCTCACCCCCAGTACGCAATCTGTGCACGCTGGCTCCAACAACCCCATGCGGTCGTCGTACGCCGGCGCTCTTGGGCCCAACACCGTCAATCTCAACCCGTTCGTGCGCAACACGCCCAGCCCCGATCGGGCTATGTACGGCGGTGCGGACCTGGGCGTCATGGAACCTTCCGGTGCTGGCGCCGGTCCCTCAAAAACAGGTCAGGACCGTGATGTCCAGGAATGGGTGACAGGTCTCGAAATTGAAGATCTGCTCTTCTCACCGCCTGCTCACGGAGCTGGCGCAGCAATTGCTGCCTCGATTTCGCCCGCACCAGGCCAGACACAGCCACGTGGGCGGGTGTCACCAATCAACACTAGCCGCCGTATTAGCCTGCGGTCCAAGCACAGTAGCGGCGGTAGCCCTACGCGGAGCAGCTTCTTGGGTTCGGCCGCTGCCGCTGCTGCAGGAGCCGTGGCGGGCGTGACAGGCGCGTGGGGAAGCGGTGAAGACGAGGCCCGTACAGGGAGCAACCTGTCCGATAAGAGTGCGTTCAGTTTCCTGTCGCGGACGACTAGTTCGCGCGGCAACGTGCCCCACAGTGGCGTTCCTGGGGTCTTGAACACAAAGGTGTCCAACAGCGACTCAAGTTCCGCAAGCTTCAACACCGCGCAGACCGGCTTCCGCAGCCTTCGCAACGAGGGCCCGGAATTGCTGTACGGAAAGGGGCATCAGAACGGAAGCAGCGCCGGGGGCAGCTTTGACAACGGTGGTGGCAGCCTCAACAACAACAGTGGCCGTGCGGGAGCGAGCACACCTACGACTTATACTCTGAACGCACCTCCAGTACTCCCACCTCTTGGGTTCGGGACAGGTTCCCATGAGTACAGTGGTGCTGCAGGCGTGTTGGCTTCTGGCGCTGCCGTTGGCGGTGCCGTTGGCGGTGCTTACCAACACCTTCATGCCAGCGAAGACGACGAGAATGAGGCGCCCCCAGGCAGCCCCAGCAAGCTCAAGGGTCGACGCACCTGGATGGGTAGCATCATGCGCATCTTCAGCTCCGGCTCTGCCGCCAACGCGAACTTGCACTCCGACCCCCCGCTGGACGCGGCCGATAGCAGCAGTATGGGCACGGGCGCCCAGCAAGGTCCCAACTACCGTGACATGGCTCACGCCACCCTACTGCGACGAAAACAGGGCCGGTCTGACTGGGAAGCCGACGAGCTGCGTGAGGAGGAGAACACAGCAGTGGGAGCACTCCGCAGTGGTGGTCGGACCGCAAGTATGGGATCCATGCCTGGCTACAGCCACAGCATCGGCCAGGGGAGTGGCTCGGGAGCAGGTGGGCCATCTGCATCCGGCAACATCGCGGCGGGCCGGCGTGACGGCAGTGGCAATTCGGATGAGTGGGATGTTGAAAAGGCCGTGCAAAATCGCGTCGTCCAGGTCATGTTTACTATGCCCCGTGCCGAACAGCTGCGTGTTGTCAATGCCGAGGTAGAGCGCGAAGAGGATGAGGCCGACATCGGCAGCGTCAGCCAATCCGTCGACCCTCACGACTGCAGCATCAACACCGATCTCAACCACGATGACGTTGTTGACGACGATGACAATGCAGGCGGTCTTTCTGCTCCCCCTCCTCCTCCCGTCTTACAGCGGCCGTATCAATCCTACCGGTCGCGCTCTCCGCTTGAGACGACGAGCACGTCCAAAGCCTCGGCCGACGGGTCATACCGCGCGATGTCACCGCCCCGCCATCTCGCATCACCCATACCACCGGATGTTATTGACCAACAGGACGAGCAGTTGCGGCAGCTTCACGAGGCCTTGGCCGAGTCTAAGCGCCTGTTGTCGACCAAAGCTATTGAGCCGTGGATGCTGGATGCCCATGACGACGACTACGACGACTATGAGGACGATGCCGTGACCTTCGATGAGGAAGAGGTGCACGAAGATGAAGCGCAGGCGGTCTCGGTCGACCGAGGCAAGGTTGTGGACGTGGGTTGGACGGATGCAGGAAACATGCCGTCACCCCTTAACACGTCATCTGCGTCGGAGAAACGCAGTCGCACCGCTGCGGAGCGCAGCAAGGCTGCCGAGGAGCGGGAGACGTTAGCGACCGCAGCAGCGTTGGCGCGCGTGCTGATGAGCAGGCCAGGAGCTGGTTCGGCTCCAGCGACAGCACCAGGAAAGGCATCCGCACCCGCCTCATCTGCAGCGACGATGCCGACCATGCCAACCAGACCAGCCGCGGTCGCTGCGCCACCCGCTTCGCCTACCCGCTCGCCTGATAAACCGACAACGCCCGTCAAACCACTGACGCCCGTCCGCTCGCTAGGGTCAACTTACAAAACACCCACCAAGGCCATCTCCAACGATTCGCTGTCGAGCAAAGCATCCTTGGCATCACGACGATCGGGCCGGCGAGGGACACTGGGTGGTGACACGTTGCTGGGCTCTCCAGCGGCGACCGAGGCAGCCAGCACAATCAAGAAGCCGGCCGGATTTGTGCTGGACATGGTGGACAAGATTGAGTTAACGGGGTCGCCCAAGTCGGGGCACAGCCGTCTTAATGCTTGACGAGGAAGGTTGTCATGACTAGTATGTGAAGGATGATATGTGATTTCATTTAGGGCTTATCTGGGGAATATCTTGGGCATATGGGCGTTTGAACCTATTGTAATATATATCTGTTTCACAATAATCAACAATTTTTGGATCTTTCATGTTGGCTTATTGATTGTTGTTTTTTTTTTTTTTTTTTTTTTTTCAAAGAATCATATTATGAATTTGAAATTTTCTGGTTTTGTTTTAATAAATACAACAGTATATTTGTACCAGGTAAATATGCAAATTAAGTGTTGTATGTAATACCAAAAATCAAAGAGGCATTGTAAACCCAAAACGTGTAATGATGCAAAATTACGAGCTGTGTTGGCAATGCTCTACCCGATTGCTATGAATGTTGAACACTCCTTCTAACCATGAACGCCATAAAAGTGCAACAAAAGTACCCCATAATATATACAAAATGAAACCAATCCATGCTCCTTAGTAGTCCTCAAACTCAAAAAAGGAGTTCCGCCGCAGAATAGCGTCAATGAGGCGCCGGCCTGGAAAATCGGCCATGACGACGCCGACGGGCGTGTACGGCCCAGAATGCGGACCGCCCGATTCCCAGCCCTCGGCCAGGTCGTCGCCGCGCTCCAGCCACCGGCCCGCGCGGTCGTTCATGCCCACGACAGAGTGGTTCAAGGGCCCGGCCGCGGCGTCAATGGGCGACACGCCGACGCTGGCGCTGAGGTGGGAGAGGAAGAGCGGCATGTCCGCCTTGGTGGCATCGTCTGACGCCGTCGCATTCTTCGCAGCCGACTGCAGGTTGTCGCGCACGGCGTCCCACTTGTCGTCCAGGGCCGCCAGGTCGGGGGTCTGCCAATAGTCTTCAATTTCCAGAAGACGGGACGACAGCTCCCAGGGGACGCCGAACCAGGGGATGGCACCCGGGGGCGCGGCCAAGTAGCTGACAGGGAAGTAGGGGAACTCTTGCAGCACCAGGATCTTGCCGCGCAGCTCGCCGACCGAGGGAATGTGGGCAGGCGGCGGCGTCTGGAACTGCGGGTCGTCGGTGGCGTTGAAGCGGTAGAGATGCTTGGCGAGGCCGGGGGCCGTGCGCGGGTCGTGCAGGCGGTAGTTGTCAAAGGCGGCGAGAAAGGGCGGCGAGACGGCATCGGCGTCGGCGTCGACGGCGAACTGGCCGGCGTCCTTGGCCGGGCCGGGCGGGTCGGACACGGAGCCGTTGAGGGGCAGGGCCTCCTCCTTGAGGCGCATAATGACAATCTCGGACGGATGGGCCGCGAGAAAGGCAAAGACGGTCTGCGCGACGTCGGCAAACTCGTAGCCCGTGTAGACGGAGGCGTGGTAGATGCCGAGGGGGTCGGCGGTGTTGGGGGACGACGGCGGCGTCGGCTGGACCTGCACACGCGCCCGCACGTCGAGGTACCGCACGCCGGCCGCCAGCTGCTCACCCAGCGCCGCATTCTGGCAGCGGTAGCCGAGCAGATCGACACGGTGGGTCATGGTGTCGTGGGTGCCCGGGATGGCGAGGCGGGCCAGCGACCAGTCGTCGGGCGCGGCGGCCATCCAGTCGGCATACAGCGACGCGTTGGGTCCCGTCAAGGCAGCGGCAATGTCAAAGGAGAAGGGGGAGGCGTGGGTGTCCTCGGGACTCGTGCTGATGGGGGCTAGCGGATCGTAGGCACTGGCGCCAGCAGGCCATGTTGCCGTCGTGGCCGTCTCGACGGGCTGCAGTTCGGCCGGCGTATGGGCTTGGATGAAAGGCACGTTGGCGGTCGACGGCGACTCGAGCACCGGGATGGGGTCAAACACGTCAAACCATATCGTCAGTATAAATGCAAGCAGCAACACCAAGGGCACCGACAGAAAGGCGCAGCGGGTGTTGCTGCCGTTGGTCGTGATGCACGGCACCAGCGGCCGTTTGCCCGGTCGGGGCGCCGGGTGGCGGCGGGGGAAAAGGGTCATGGCAGCGGAGGGAAGCGGCTCAAGACAGGAGTATAATTAAAGCAATGACAGCAATACGCGTTAAAGCAGAGTTGAGTGCAAGACAGCTCGCGACGCTACCATTTTCGAGATGGATGCTGGCTGCTGCATGCGGAGGAACGGGCACAACACAGTGCAGGAAGGCGGCGGAGGGTAAAAGAGAAGACGAATAAGTGAAACAGATGGAAGAGACGACTCTCCCTCTTCTTCTGCTGTTCGGACGTGCTGGATGATGACATCGACGGCTTGTCGTCGTCGATGCTGCCCGTGTTTGACGTTGACAGGAATCACGTGCTCACGCCGAATTCAACGACTCCATGGCGAACGTGCCTGACGAACGGCTGCCATTGGCTCGCTGCAGAAAAGCACGTGACTAATCACATGCACACCCAAGTCGCTCAACTTGGGATTGGTTTTTATTTATTTTATTTATTTATTTCATACATTGTACTTGGATGATCGCCTTCAGCCCATGCGGCCCACTCCACTGGCTTCGATCGACACTGCCAGCCCGGTTTTTACACATTCACACCATTCTTTTTGTTTAATGGACAGTGGCGCGGGGGGGAACGATTTTGGGGCTGCTTCGGTCTCCCTTTTCCTTCCTTTGATCGCGTGGGCCGACGATTTGGCGGACGATGCGATCGATCGCCCAAGGAGGCTAGGGAGATGCTCAGGGTTGGTGCTTGTTTTCACTGCTGTCTGTCGTGCCGTGGCAGAATGGACAACGGGCAGAACGAAGTATGCTGGACATGGCAACGACCTGACTGAGCTTCCGTCAAGGAGGAAGACGGAACGGAGACTTCAGTGAGCCGGGATCCCTCCTGGTTTTGTGTTGCCACTTTGCCGCGATGTAACAATTTTTTCTTCGTTTTTCTTTCTGGATTTGCTTAGTGTGACGCTTCTTGGCTGTTCCTGTTTTTCTTTTCCACTTTCCAAGGTCAAGCCAAGACCAGTCGAGCCAGGTCTCCTTTGCTCCTCTCCTTTCCTGTGTCCTGTTTTTTACCTTTGGAATACTCCTCTTACAAGCTTGGCCAAGAGAAAAAGCCAAGAAACTGTTAGTCAACAAAACAAAAGGTCGCGCAATTTTCGATCAAACCAACTTGTCTAGATGCCGGGCGGAAAGTTTGCAAAAGACCGGCCTCGAACCAGCACTCGGTGCAGGCTGACGGATCAATGACAGTGTCAAAGAGGCGACGAAAGGGAGTATCGACGGCTGGGGAGACAAAATGGGTCCCGGAGGGGTGTAGGTTTTGCGTCAGTTTAGCTCGTGGCTCTCCATGTACAAAGTAAACACATGTGATATGCGATGAATGGAGGACAGTCCACTTTTGTTGGGGAGTCAAGGGGAGGGGGGCATTTACGGTTGGTGGCGGACATGCTTGAACAGAAACCACCACAGACGAAAAAGACCGTCCCGACATTGATGTCTGTCAAGCGGCACTCCGTACTCCGTCCATCGAGACCCCCTTGCGTCCACCGAGTCAGCAACTTCTGATGTGCCAGGGGCATTGTGAGCTGCGAAACTATGAAAAGGAGACGGCCAACAGAATTCACGACAGGACTACGTCGTAGATAAAAATGGAGACGTCAATGAAACATGGGAGGTGACCTGAGATGACGCGCGGAAGACGGTACTTTTTGCCGTCTATTTTTGCCAAGTAGCTATGCCGGTGTCGTCGATCGAAGGCGTATCTGACTTTGTGTTTTGTGTTTTCTTACTTTAATTTTGATTTTGACTGTTGACCTTTTCCACCGTTTTGGCTGACACGGGATGTCGACTGCATTGTCCCCTATGTAAGGCTGCGGTTCTTACTTCAGTTGGTGGAGTATTTGAGCTAACCACCAGATTGCCCGAGCGTCTAGCTTTGTCTCTTGTTTTTTGCATCCGCTTCTGGTGTTTGCCCGGTTTACTCGTATTTCACTGCGTTGCTCGTTTTTAGCGCTCTTTTGGTAAAAAGTGCTCCCATCTGACCTCGTCTTCTCTCAAAAGACTGTCAGAACATTCGGATGAACTGCAGGAGCTCCACGAAAGGCACTCGTTATCGCGAGAAGGCATCGGGAAAGTGCTGGTTGTCTCGGATGTGGAGGCCGTTAGTCTAGGTTGTTGGTATCCGTCCAGCCTCGTTGTCCTATCTTGATCTTTTTACTTTTCTTCTTCTTTTGTCTTCTTCTTTTTTTTATCGTCCCACTGGACCCTGAATTTTGCCGTCGAGTCCAAGCAGATTTGTCCGCCTGCATGGCCACTGTACGGGCGTCGTCGGATCATTACATCGTGTGATGCCAAGGCTGCGGGCGGGCGTCGTGACGCTGCAGGCAGTGGTCCTCGAATACGAGGTTGGTGCAGCGAGGAGGGGGGTTGGTGGTAGAATGCGTGCATGATACGAGCTGTGGGGGGATGGGTTGGGTGTTTGAATCAATCAACATCCATGGAACTTCTCATGACAAATCTTTTATGAGCCGTGATAGAAATTACCGCTGACGATCAATGGTTTATGTCAAAAGTACGGAGAATACCTTTGCTACGTTCGGGGCTTTGATGAGATCAAAAGACTGATAATTGACAAAACATGAAGTTCATGACACTGGTATATGCAACGATGATACCGAGCTTTCCCGACTTGCGTCTACAGCTCCTGACAACGTAAGCCATTGATTCGTCTGTGCTTGTGCATATGTGCAGTTCCAGGCTGGTCTTTGTCTCGATTTCGTTTCTAGTTTTGATATTGTAGTTCGTATATTGGCTTCAAACGTTATTTCATATCCTCGGCTCGGGGTTGCAGAACTACTTCCGTACGGCGAACAAAAATGGAAGGAGTCAAGCGGCTTAAAACCAAGGACAAGGGAAAGAATGAAAGAAAAGGAACAACGACTATCACCGTCGTCATGTCGTCTTCCCTCTCACCATACAGAAGTATCTTTGCGAATTCCTCTTATCTTGTCATTTTTGCACCAACCTCCTCATTGCCACCCCTCCGTCTCGCCACCCCGGCGCATGCAGCCTGCAAGACGATAAACGAGAG